TATATATACTCCATGTGGTCGGAGATGCTTCCTTCTGCCTGTTACATACATTTGCACAAATACATTATATTATACCCCTTTTACCCATTTTAATGTGTTCAGGATATACATATATTATAATGCAAAAACTCGAGTTTGGTTGATAATAAAGGAATTTTATAATAGTCCAAGTTTAATAAGATTCCATTCATATGTAAGGAGCATAGTGAAGTTTTTAACTGTCAATACGTTATTCATTCAAAAACCTTAGAGTTTATCATATCTGAGTTAAACTAGAGCAAGCAGCAACAATGCATTTAACCACGCTTTGTATACTGTGTTCATTCATGAAGCCCGTAACCAGGATAGCTTATGCCAAGAGTTAAGACCGAGTTAAGGAACAGATCTTGGATTTAGAATTTTGCGGTGTCAATTAAACGATTTCATTTGGCTTAGACATTAGCCCGACTCTAAGCCGTACCCAGTGCAGCATTCAAATAGTTTTGCATCAGTCTGCAGGCTCGTCGAGTGGCTGCACTTCAGCCGGACAATGGAGGCACTTAAGTGTGCGCTTTGTGGCTAAGTCGTTAAGCGCTTAAGCGGCAGGTCGGCGGCAGGTTGAGCGGAACAACGGGACAACGGCACAACAGGACATCAGGCCGGGTTTTAACACTTTGATAAACCGATTAGCAGCGACCTGCGGTTGACCTAAGCTACGCAGCGCATAATCAGAGCATTCAATTCCAAATAGATAGTCCAAAATTCATTCAAAATTCCCGTTTGCCAGCACATATTGTGCTCATTTGCATATGTATGTATGTGCTGCTCGGATCTGCTCCCAAGGCGTCCACGAGGATAACATGTGTTTTTTTTCCCTATACCCATTGGAAATTAATACAAAAAAGGGTATCATGTTTTAGTGCCAAGGTATGTAACAGGCCAAAGCAAAGCAACTCTGAACCTATTCAGGAGGAAGAGTTGAGTCGATCTTTCTGCCTTAACGATCTGGGAAACTAGATAAGCGAGAGACATGAAAAGTTAAAGATAACCTCTTGCATACCATATTAGTTATATTATTATTTAATACTTTTCCTTATTTTAATAATATCGATAAATATCGCTTTTGAGAGAAGGCATATTGAGCATAAATCGAAACTTTTAAGAGCTTGGGACAGGGTGTATTATATTGAGCTCAAACGCATTTATATTTCAGATATTCACTTTTAAATTTTCATTTAGATCGGACAATAAACACCGAAGTTAAGCAAGAACGCATGCAGAGCTGCTGCAGAAAGTTGTGCTGTACTCTTAAGTTTTGTCTATATACACACACACGACAGCTCAAGTCTGGGTATCTTCTGGTCGAGCACTTTGACTTGTTTTGGCTGTTTTCGATTTGAGATGATTCTGTTTCTATTTTAGCTCAGTGTCCCCAAAGCCAGGCTGCACATGTTTGCCTGCTGTCCCTGGAATTTTGTCCTCTCTCCACGTGTGCGCTGCTGTTGCTGCTGCTGGTTCATGTTTTGACTTATGCGCCCGGGGTGGTGCACATTGAGACATCAACTCTCAATTGTCTGAGCAACAATTTTGACAGTTGTTGCCAGTTGTTGCCAGTTGTTGCCAATGAATGTGCAACTCTCCAGGCAGAGTTGGCATTTTGCATTGATTGAGCTATCCGCATTCTCGTCCTTGTACTTATTCAGCCCATTCACTGGCACAACTCGCGCTGTGTGCATTCCCCGAAGCTGCTTCTAAGGACCATTGTGGCAGCATTTGATGGCCAACTTGAATTTGATAATGCGTCGGACAAAGATTTGCCAAAATTTCAAGATTTGTTTACACACAATTCACAGCGCAAAGTGTGGGGTCTTCGGTGAATGGCTATAAAGCGACAATTACGACAATGACAGCCCGGAAACAGCTCAATCAATGGCCCAGAGTAACAAAAATTACCTTCAAACAATATGAGACTGCATTAAAATACTCGAAAATCTATATGTACTGGCTGCAAGCTAAATTTCCCATGCTAACAAAAATCATTTTTATAATTCATGGTAAAAAAAATGTATACATGTATGTATATATAAATTCCGGGCTGACTAGTTCCGTTCAAATTCGTTTCGCAGCCTTAATTGTTATATTTTAAGAGCTTTTTACTTACAGGACGTCTGACAGGATAAACAGCGCGTAATTAATAAATTAATAGAGCATTAATTATATTTCAATTAGCTTCCCTTTGCAAGCACCACCGCACAAATGTCATTAAACAGTCCATTATTTTTTAATGTGCATACATAATAGAAGAAGAAGTATCACTGCACACTGTTGCCATAACACGTAAATTTAGCACAAACAACTTTAATTGCGAATGAAAACAAACACATGGCCATTAGTATGCACACAAGCAACTTCAATTGCGAATGTAAACAACAAAAAAAAACATGATGATTATCGATGTAATTCGAGATGTCAATGCAATCGATAAATAATCGAGCTTTTTTTGCATTCCTTATTAGCATATGCGTATGCAGCGCGCAACAGTTGAGGCGACCAGCTGTGCTGACGTCACGAATAGCAAAGCAATTAGTCTGGCAACCACGACATCCTGTTGCGCCAACATGTACTGATAAGCGCATTATTGACAAATGGGCAACCCCCGCAGTGGACGCCATTGGGCATTGCACTTAATACAAACTTATTTTCAACTGCTGCAAGGTTGTTTGGATGTGCCTGTGTGCATATGTATGTACATAAATATGTATGTAACTACAAGCGCAGGCGCAACTGTCATTGCGAAAGTATACATATTAATTTTGTTTGCTTTGCCTTTGTGTGCGAAGCGCCGCAACAGGTACCTCCCTCCCCCACCCCCCCTTCGCTGACCTTCATCTGCTAATTAGCCACAGCCGCAGCAATGGCCATTGAAAGCGCATAAAACAAACACTAAGTGTTGAAATACATATGTATGTATTAAAATGCATTATATATGTATGAATGTATTTGTTTTATTAATTAAATGGCAACTTACTTTATAGCAGGAAGTAAACATGATGCGTAGTGCAGGCGCCTATGGCGAATAAAATCTTCATTTTTCCGTTGCATCGCTTTAAAAAACCGCTTTTAAATCAATTGAACCATTAAATTATTATTATGCACACTTGTTTCACAATGTATTGGGATAATAAATATAAAAAAATAGAAAAAGAAAAAAAAAAAACGAAAAGAAAAAACACCACCCACGCACAATTAGAAAATACTAATTAGCGATGCAAAAACTGGGCACTGTCCACATCGATACTTGGCACCCGCGATGATTGATCGATCTGCATCCCATTCCCAATCAAGGGCATCGATACCTGCGCTGCATGTCTTTAGTTATTTAATGCACTAATGCGTCGCAATGTCAAAATATTGTATTGCGCGCTGCCATAAAAGTGGCTTTGTCCTTGGATACCATTATTTGCGCCGATGTTCGTGCATATTTATTAGCATTATGTTAAGGCTGCGCTACCTTTCACTAAGTTAAGTTGACACCTCATATTTAGTTTTTTATTTTTTTTTTTTTTTTTTGGGGCCAGCGTTTAAGTAATGCGATTAATCGGCGTCGGCCCAGCGACGATTGCTGCGATTGTGACAAATGCAAATGCCATTGTTGAAATAATGACAGCATTTTATCAGGAAACAGCATTTTATCGCTGGCCAAGTGGAGCAAATGAATCAAATGGAGCTGAACGGGGCTCGATACTCGATACTCGATACTTTTCGACGTGAGTATTAGCTGCTGTTTGTGTGTGTGTGTGTGTGTGTGTGTAGGTGTGAGTGAGTCGGCTTTCACTTTTAAGCCTTAAGCCAGTTTTCTTATCCAATTTTCCAGCCAGCGTTGAGCATCGTATTACGAAACGGAAATCCTTTCGGTTTCTTCCGCTCTTCCTTTTCAAGCCAGCGCGATGCTAACAAGATTAATGAAGGGGGTGCGGACGGCCAAAAGGACTGGCAGGTCCTTAGACACACACAGACGCGCACACACACACACACACACACATGTAGCGCACGGCGTCGTGCCGCCAAACGTTTTCTGTTTGGTCATTGTCCTTTTTTGCGCGCTAGGCAAATAGCAACCGGGGCAAGCTGAGGCGTCCCGGCTATGGTTACCAATTTTTTTTTGTATTATTGTATTTTTTTTTTAATAGCCATTACCTGTTCGGCGGGTAACTCGATGCGCCCATTTAGTGTGCAAGCCGGAAGTTTGTACATTCGTTTTGCTTTTTATTGCAATTGCCGCAGTCGCCGTGCAGGCCCGGGCGAACCTAACCTCAAACCCTTTTATCGATTCGCTTGACAACCCTGAAGCATGACTGACCTGTCGCGTGCACAACTGCCAAAATACAAACAGCAAAACAAATAAAACTCGAATGATCATGGTTGTGTCTGCCACAGAGGAAACTCGGTTACCGTTACAGTCTGATCTTATCAAAAATCGGCATTGATCAATCGAATTGGTTTGAGTTTATGTTCGCTGAACATTTTAGGGTTATGTATGACAACGTTTGCATGTAGCTTTGAACAGTTAGACTGAAATATCTCCATATATGACGTACTTTAAGCGTATATATGAATAGATCGAGAACAACCAAGAGATACCTCGGTTTCTAATATGATATGCATTATATCTGTAAATTCAGAGGGAAATACTTTTGAAAGCCATCTGAAAGTGTATCTTAAAGCGCTTCACTTAAGAATCAGCTGCTGTTCAATCCAGAATATGTTGGGGATCTTTCTAACGAATATAATCAATTCTAACCTCAAAATAGATACCCTTTAATGTCCCAATGCATTAGATCTGTAATTTCAGAGGGAAATACTTTTGAAAGCCATCTGAAAGTGTAGATTTAAGTGCTTCACTTAAGAATCAGCTGCTGTTCAATCCAGAATATGTTTGGAATCTTTCTAACGAATATAATCAATTCTAACCTCAAAGTAGATACCCTTTAATGTCCCAGTACCAGGGAAAACGACTTCGATTCTGTATGTTTTTGCAGCTCTTTTGACTGCATTTGCGTTGCTTTATATATTTTTCATAATTTTTGGGTTTCATATAAACCATGTGACTTAATAAATATTATAAACAAAGAGCAAAAAAAAAAAAATATAAATCACAATACATGCTATGAAAAAAAAAGTGTGAATATAATAGGATATCATATGGATATATATGCATATAAATGTGTATATTATGTAAGATATAAGGACACCAACCGCTTATACCAAAAAGAAACAAACAAAAATGTAACTTTCTCTAAGAAATGTTTTCCTACGATTTTTTTTTTTTCGATTTTTTTTTTTTCAAGATGCGCTTAGCTCACACACACAAAGTTTGACTCTCTGGCTGACTGTGGGGGTTTGTTTTCTTGGAGAGGGGTGTGGTGGTAGAAGGGGGGGGGGGGTAGGCTCGATTCGGGTTCGACTACGATATCATGCATGGACATATATATATACAGGATATATAGCTATACAGAGCGGGTCACGGAGCTGGTTTTACAGGGTATCTTCTATCTACGCGGCTGTTTGATATTTGCGCGGCTCAAGCGAAATATTGAAGCCATTCTCCAGCTTGAGTATAATGTCCGCCTGGAGCTTAAAGTCCGCCTCCGTATCGGTGGAGTGGACAATGAAGTTGCGCACAATCGTGGAGAGGAGCACCTTCAGCTTCAGCATGGCATATTTGCGTCCAACACAGCTGCGCGGTCCCGCACTGAACGGTATGAAGCTATAGTAATGCCTGTTGGCGGCACGCTCCGGCAGGAAATTGTCGGGATCGAATTCGGTGGGATTGGGATAGATGTCGGGACGACGATGGACACAATATTGCAGCACAACCACGGTGGTGCCCTTGGGCACCGTATATGGTCCGCTGACCAGCTTCACATCGTGATCCAAGCGGCGGGCAATCAACGGCACTGGCGGATACATGCGCAGCGTTTCCAAGATGACGCGCTCCAAATATTTCATCTCCATGGTATCGGCGAAGGTGCAATCGCGCTGCATATTGTCGCCAAAGATCGATTTTTGTTCGGCAAAGACGCGCTCCTGGATGTTCTTGTGTATGCCCAGCATGCATAGAGCAAAGCTCGAGCCGGCCGATGTGGTGTCGTGTCCCTCGAACATAATCGTGTTCACCTCATCCATAATGTCCTTTTCGTTCCATTCGATGTCCGGATTCTTGGCCATCTCGACCATGGCATCGAGCAGGGCCAGGCGACGCTTGGCGCCGACATCGTTCTCATCGATGTCATCCAAATCGTCGCGCAGACCCTCCTTTTTGGCAGCGGCTGGGGCTGTGGCGCGTGCCTGCTTGGCGGGCGTCTCCTCCACCTCGTCGATAATGGCGCGCGATTCCGTTTGGAAATTATCCTTGCGATCCTTAACCACCTTGCGTGTCATGCCCAATATGATGTTCATCATGCGATCACCCTTCTCGCGCAGCTTGGTAAACTTATAGATGCTGTCCAGGCGATACAATAGCTTCACCTGACGCTTATGTATAATGTCGCACATGTCGACCACAGCCTGGGCATACTCGAAACTCTTGTTGCCCTCCGGCAGCTTCTTCACGCCCATGGCCGTCGACAGCAGTATATCGACGGTGGTCTGTGACATATAATCGTGGACATCGAACGATTTGCCCGCCTCCTTGGCCATGCGCGCCGATACGGCCTTCGAGTGATCGACAAATGTGGGCACAAAACTCTTCAATATGCTCTGATGGAATGTGGGCGCAATCATTTTGCGATGATGACGCCAATGGTGGCCATTGCTGATGAGCAGACCATCACCGAACCAGGGCTTGAAGTAACGATATTCCTCGGCCTTGGTCAGATGCTGATGTCCGCTCAGTATAAGCTCAATGTCGCTGGGATTGGTAAGGAAAACAATCAGTACATTGCCCAGCCAGGCCTTCATCGTTTCACCGTATTTGTTCAGATATCCCAGGCCGACAGATAGAATCTCGGCATTGCTCAAACCGGCCGCCATATGGGCCATGCCAATTAGCGGCAAGGCCGGCGGCGATGGTATATTGGCCACCATCCGATATTCGCGGGTATTGCGATGCCAGTACTCATAAAGGGCCATGATCAAAATTGTGCCCACCAGGCCGGTTAGCAGGGGGCTTAGCATGAAGCCGCTGGTGCTGCCCGTTGTCGCCGCCGTTGCCGCCTGTTGCAGCGTCTCCTGCACCGTTTCCACAGACATCCTTAGGCTCTTCTAAACTGCTCCTGTTTGCTCTTCTGCTGCTCTTGTCTTTTGATCCTGGCGACGCTCGGCTCTTGTGCTCGATCAAACTACTGCTCGTTGCGCTGCCAATGCTCAACTGTGTGTGGTCTGGCGGCGCGTTCGGTCAATTATAGTCGTCCAGCGGCGGCTGGACTATGCGCGCCCCAACTGACCCCCAATCAAGTGTTAAGCGTATGCCCCAATGCGCGCGATTCATTTGCAAACCAAATTTCACACTCCTGCCCCCCCCCCCCCCCCCTCCCACTCTCTAGCCGGCCAGACCAGCGCTTTGTGGTGTCTTCACTTGTCATTGGCTGTTGCTCCCGTTGTTGTTGTTGCTTCTCGTTTCTGGATACGTAATCGCAGCGATCGCATGTTGGGGCTAAAAAGTGTTGTGGCTGCTAGAAATGAGCGCAGTTCGTGCTTTCTGCGCGTGACACGATACCTAGACAAAGCTGTGCCCGTACCAGCTCGATGCCAAAGCGTAACGATAAGTATATATCGATGCTTAGCTCTTTGTTCACAATGCAAACTGAGTATTTTTTAGTGAAATAGTCCTTTATATATAAATTAATAGAATTAAATGAAGTAGTAAAATGTTCCTTACTGCGTGAAACGAGTCGCAATCAACATCATAACTATTTATTTAATAATAATATTGTGCATTAATAGAGTTCTGAGTTAATACAGAGTCGTGTCTTATTGTGTAACACGTGCAAAAACACGAAGCTGGCTTAGCACAATATCCAACTAGATAATCGATATACATATCGATAGACCATTTCGTACCGGATGCTGCAATGTGCACATGTTTATGCATTCAAAGGTTATTGTTTTCGTCATGGTGGGGTTAAAGAGTCCCATTGTAACGCCTATAAGGGCGTAAGAGAACAGAGTATAACGGGCTTTGGCAGTTAAATAGATCGTGCCTTTTGGCGTGACACGAGCAAGATATCACGAGTACTAGATAAAAACCAACATGTTTACTTAAGACAATAAGTATTTATATATATATTTATCTATTATATATCTATTTAAATAACATTTACAGTGAAATAATAGTGATTAAAGATAGCAAAACTTACAGCAACTAAATGGAATAAAAACATGTATGAATGTGTATATACAGACTGTAATTGTCAGTCAGATAAACGTAAATATATATTCAAAATGTTCGCGTGCGTGTCTACAACTTATGGGTCATGCTCGTGCTAGGCACATAGTGTGTCATCTCTAGTTTCACACACTTCCGCAGGATGCGCATGTGATCCTCGCTGACAAACTCTCGCTGTCTCGCTCGCGCTGTGTATGCAAAATAGGGACTACCTGTGCAAAAACTACCTGCAACGGAAGTGGGTGATATTTTTTTGTATTCTCTCTTCCTTCTTGTTTATTATTATAATTTTTGCTATTGTTCCTGTTGTTCTTGCTGTATTTTGCTTTCGCTTTTCATTTAAATTCAATTTCAGCATATTTTATTTTTTTTTCATTTATTCTGTGTGTATTTCCTTTTGTTTTCAACACCTGAACGCGAATGCAAAAACCGAAATGTAAGTGGAACAATGAAAAGGAAGCTGTCGCTTTTAAGGACTTGCCTCCCTATTCCGGGACCACGGCCATGTGTGCCCTTTGGCCTCTCGACGTCTACTGTCCTCTTGCTGCTTGCTGAATATATTTATATATATATATATATATTTATTTTCTTGAGTGCTCTTCTATTTTGGTTATTTACATTTGGATTGCTTGGCATTGGATTAATTTCGCATTTTGCGTTCTTATTGTTTTGCGTCCGCAGCGCGTGTTGAAAGCGTGTGTTGCCGCAGCTGACAGAGCCTCACCTGGCGGCATCGAGTGCAAATCTCTTCCAACTCTTCTTCTGCATGCCAACACTTAGCTCTTAAGCCTAGAAATATGCTTTGTATACTGCTTGCAGCTCGAATTCAACTGGTTTCTTATGAGAAATGCGCATTCGATGCGTTCCAATTGGACGCCAATTGGCTGATAGCCTATATCTTATCTGAAGTGCCTATTATTAGGGTTTATTAGCTAGACAATATCGAAACCACGTGTTCTTATTGTTATAAACAACATTTTAAAGGTCAACGTGATTTTCGTATAGTTTTTTTTTTCTCAGAACCCTTTGTAATCTGGAATCCTTACATATCTTAACTTTTTATTGTATAAAAGGAATTTTTAAGCCTTTAAACAAAGTGACATAACAGTTTTTGATAGAATTTTTTAAGTATTTTATTAAATAAGTTAAACGAAGGTCGAGAATTAAAAGATGAAGTAAATACAATTGTACAGATCTGCATCTGTATTTGTATCTATATACAACTTTTTTCATTTCTATTACAGATACTGTTCTCTGTTGTTTTTCAGGCTGAATCGAAGACTAGAAAAGCTAGAGACTTGTTAAGCGATGTATATATATGTACGTGTTCCTATACCTTATGCAGAACGGGCTCTAAATTTCCTTCAATAGCTCCTCACATTTTCGTCACATCGATAATTATCGATTTTGCGTATTGGTTTTTTGGGCATAACTCGAAAACTTTAGGTGCCAGATGCAGCAAACTTGGTATGTAGGTTCTGGTAGAGTCTAGATAGAGTAAAATTTATAAACATTTTTTTTTTACCTCTCCCCGTTCTACCCATAATTGAAAAACTCTTATGCCCTAAGGTATAGTCTTGCGCTCTGGTATACACAGACTTTTGTAATTCATAGCTAAGCCCTAGAAATTTCAGAAAGATCCGACTCCAACAACTGAAGTTAATCAGGTACACATTTCCCATAGTGTGGGGCTAAGGTAAGAAGAAGCAAGAACCGTTAACATAATTGACTAGATCACGCCTTAATGGATTCTGGGTAAAAACCTGCAATATAATCCTCTAATATAATATTCATCAACAATTTCCACATCTAAATTCAAAAAAATTAAAATACGCCTTGCATAACATTTAATAGTTTTATTTCACAAAAAATGCATTTTGAAAATATAAAATGATGTCACGTAGTTTCATTTTCGCAGTAAATTAGAATTTGAATTTGACGCAGCGATCGGTCTTAAAGTTTAGTTTAATGTGGACATTTTGTTTCCAGATGTCGTATGGACTTTACATACGTAAAAATAAATTAGGTAAATGAATGCATTTTAAATATTGTGAACGCGTCGTCATTTGGATACGAATTTGGATTATTGCTAATTTGATGTATTGATATACGAACTACATATGTATATATATATCTATGTGTGTGTGTGTGTGTGTGTGTAGGCTAGCATACATATATGACTTTTGTTTGCAAATTTTGGACACAGAAGCATTTGATTATGTCATTTTTTTTTATAATAATATAATATTAATACGATTAAATATAGTATATGGGTATTATAATAGTTTATATTTCTTAAATTTGTTTTCTGTTTTTTTTTTCTTGTTTTCTTTTTCTTTTTTTTGTTTCTCTTTATATAACGGAATCGCATTACAAGCTAACATTGTCTTTTATAAATTGTTTGTGAATTTCTCAATAGACCTCAACAGACTTATGACGAGGACATAAAAACCACAGAAGTTGCATAAACATAGATATACACATATATCTTGAAAGGAACACACCAGCTGAGCGCAGAGCGTGGGGCAGGGACACTGGCTGGCCCGACAGCACAGTTATCGTAACTATATATATATATATATATATATATATTGATATATATCTAGACGCGCACAAGTACATATACATATATATACAAAACAACATGAAATAACAGGGACGAAGACACAGTGAGGGATTGTTTCGGTGTGCGGGTGTTCCTTGATGTGTTTTTTTTTATTTATTTTTTCCATTTGACGCATTCGCTTACGTCGTCTCATTGAGATGCGCGCAGTGCGCGTCCTGCATGAGCTGCGTCAGTTTCTGCGTAAACGTTGGAATGTCCTGCAAGAGCATAAAATTGTTGATTAGAACAAGCTGTAAGCAGAGCTCGCCTCGGCATTATTATATGCATAGAAACAGACAACCCGACTTTTGATACGTATCACGAACATATATATACGCACATAATACATGTCTGCTTCTATGCATTACGCCTTGTGTTAGTTTTAGGCATGCACAATAAATTATAATAATTATATAGACAATTGTAACACGTACAGTTGTGTGGCATATTTCCTCGAGCGCTGTTTGTGGAACAGGCAATGCCGCATTTACGAAGCTCTCGTGCAACTGGCGGCGATCCACCTGACCCATGGCATACAGTGCCTGTGCAATCAGATCAAAATGGAGCGCACCCTCGCCGCTCGACAGCAGATTGATCAGCGCCCGCTGGAAGGAGGCCAACAGCTGCTCCTTGAAGAGGGCCCGCTGATAGAGGCGACTACGCTCGTTCACATTCTGCATGGAGACCAGAACGCTGCGCACATTGCTGGGATCTGTGCCGCTGACCAGCATCTGGCCATACGCATTCATAATGGCCATAAAGTGTTCCGGATGCAGATTATCGCTGCAATTGAAATTGTGCGCCGGCGGCGGCGGCGATGTCGCCGATGACTGCTGCTGCTGCTGTCCATTGGCACTGCCATGACCATGACCATTGCCATGGCCATTGCTCAGCTGATTCTTGTAGAAGAATTGCCACTTGCAGGTGAGCACGCTGTCGGGATGAGGCACAAGGATTAGCAATTGACCGCAGGTGCGTATTGACTTCGCTCACCTGTCGAAAAGCGCAAATAGCAGGCTGGTAATCTCGCTGCTGTCCGTTGCCGCATTCTGTTGCTGCAGCAGCGGCAATATCTGCTGTGTGCTAAAGGTCAAAATGCTGGGCATCAGCACCAGTGAGGCGTTGCCCGGCTGCTCCACAATTAGCTGAAACATTTGCAGCACCTTCTCCATAACAGCCAGCCGGCTGAGCGTCAATTGTTCCCTAAAAAACAAAATCCATAGCATGCATCAATTAAAGTGGGACAGCTAGCGTGCGGAAGAGACTCACCTGCTGCTGACATCGATGAACAATGTGATCATCTCCTTGATGAACTGTGCCCCCAAATGTATGGGCAGGGTGCGCAGCATGCTCAGACTGAAGTCAGCGACGGTAATGGCCATGGCAATGCTGCTTAGCCCAAAGCTATTGAAGATTACCAGCGCCTTGTTTAAAATGGGCTGAGCGTGCGTGAGAGAGAGAGCGAGAGCGAGAGATAGGAAGTAAATGAGTGAACGAGTGAGACAGAGTGTAAATTAGAGGCAAGTAAAGAGGCTATCAGCCCGACTAAGAGATACCCTGAATTAGGCAGTCGTTAAAAACAATCTAGTCTCCCTCTATGCATGCTCCATATATGGAAAATGTTTTCTTGTTTAACTGCAGTCCTTGAAGAAGGCTACGTTTATACCAAAGCGCAAGGCATTATCTTTACAAATCTATCTATCTCTATCCTTCTTCAGTTTTGAGGCGGAAGAGAGGGTGAAATAGTTTTATTCTATACGAGAAGCTATACACCTAGTTTGTTGTCTGCAGCTTCTATAATTTTCGAGTTATGCTTAAAAAAATCAATTAGCTAAATCGATAATTATTGAAATCATGAAAATGGCAGGCAGTATAGAATTAACTGATAAGCGCCTGCTGCGTTTGATGCAGGAGAATCTACATTACAATTTATAAGTTCTAGATTTTGTAGTTTTCGAAATCGACGCGAACGGACGGATGGACGGGCATGGCTAGATGGACTCAAGAATGGGATCAAAGCTGCTTACTTTTGTCTATTACATTTGCAAAAGAACATTTTGCCCTTATTTAAATAAGAAAATATATACTTTCTGTTAAAATAGTTGATTCTCTATCAAAATATTCTCAATAGAGCTACAAAAGTAAGAGACAATTTTGCATACGGAAGGACTTCACTTAACGCTACGAACTGAACTTCCTCTAAACTTAAACATTGTTTAGGATAACTATCAAATCTCTGCAGCTGTTTGTCATACTGCTCACCTTAAAGGTGTGTGCCAGCATATCCTTGGCATGGGCGCCCGTCGCCTTGAAGTACTCAATGAGAGACGTAAAGGTGCCCAGCAGGCTGAGCGTTGTGGCCGCCACTTTGCTTTCACCGGCGGCGGGTAGATCGAGCTCCAGGAAATTGCGTGACAACGCATCGATATACTCCCGCAACATCCACTGGCGGCGCTGATAATCCTGCTGCAGCTCGGGCACATTCTTCCAGGGCAGCACCATATAGCTGACCAGACTGATGTGCACATTGACGCACACCTGACGCGGCAGTTGGGCGCCCAGACGGGGTCCCGCCTGCATTAGGCTCTGTATTTCGGGTATATCCAGCAGACATTTGGGTCGTATCACAGTAGCTATAAAGAGCAGCACCTCGCTCGCCGCCTGCTGCACAATGGGCGAACCCGCCGATGGCGATGGATTGCCCGCAAATATGCTGCCCAATACGGCAAAGAGTCGATGCAGCAGCTGTTCGCTATTGAGGCATCTCGACAGCGGAAATATGCTGCGTATGGCCATTAGAACTTGAGCGTAACTGTCGCAAATAAATGAATATTATCAAAGGGCATTCCAAGTGGATGAATATTTGGTCTGAACCTACAGATTATCCATGTCGGTCTGGAAGCTCGCCTTTTCCGAATCGCTACCGCCCACGCGATTGCTGGCCAGCAGATGCAGCGTTTGCAGCAAACGATCCGATAGCACCTGCAGCTGGCTCTCCATCTCGCCCCTTACGTCGGCTGCCGCCTGCGTTGGATCCATCAGTGGGGCCAGACGCACCACCGCCTGACAGACGGTCGCAAAATCGCGCAATATTTCGCCAACATTTGCCGTTTTTAGCTTACGCGCCATCTCATAACAACGACCGCTGCCATGATCCAGGGCCAGTTCCAGGGACAACAGATACGTCTGCGGGCGGGACCAATGGGCAAAGACTTGGGCAAACACGATGTGTGCGCCGCGTGTGCTTGCCAGCAGGGCCAGGCACTCGAAGCACTGGTCCAGAAACTGTTGCCATTCCGTTGTTGGTGTGTGCTACGGATAGAATCAAAGAACAAAAAACTATCGATTACTACATATCGATAAATATCGGAGGCTGGAAATCTACATTTCATATTTGATACCCATTGAAAATGTTTAGAAAGAGATACCAGAAAAAAAACTTACAAATTAAAAGATATCGATTACCAGATATCGATATATAACGGAGGCTGAAAGCCGGTTTTGTAACGAATTGAATATGATTAGAAAGATGAAATACCCAAAAACAACGTAAAAATTAAAAGCTTTCGATTACTAGATATCGATTATTATCGGTTTCTATACCCTGTACCCATTAAACGAAGGGAGGAAAAGCTATTGACTACGAGATATCGGTACATGTGTATCGAGGCAAGAAATCGGGTTGGAAGTTATTGAAAATTGGTAACAAGTAAGCTGAAGTTTGTGAGAGCAAATCCTGAATAAAAGAAACGTTATCGATTGCTAGATATCGATATATAGTACGAGGCCATGTCGTTTTTAAATCGAACCAATAATTATTTCCTGCACCCTTAAAGTATGGGAAACAAGTATTTTATACGGCGAGAAGATATACTGACCCAATGTAGGAAAAGAAAGGCGATCGATTGCTAGATATCGATATATATTGATGCAAATATTCGGCTGTAAATCGAATCGGTTTAATCCGTTTTTTTCAACACTTTGAAAATGGGTTGTCAAGATGTCTTTGAGTTGGTTTAGACGAAAATTAGAAACTTAAATGAAATACACCAATAAACATAGAAATATTTATATCTAAGCATTGGTGAAAAACTGATTTATAAACGGTTTGCATGTTGTTTTAATTATGTGAACCACTTCGGAATGGTACACAAATGTGAAACATGGTCTATAGAAATTATAAAAAAGGTATTTAAGTCCATTTCAGCCTTACTTCAAAGCTGTTTCAAAACTGAGTCAAATGTGCTTTAAACAAATTCAAAATTGGTTTAGCCACCATTTGTGGAACCTTTTCAACAGACATCGCTGATATTTGTTATGAAGTAAACATGCGTGAAAAGCAATAGAGAAAAACCACTCTAATCGAAAGTCTGCCCACAATCAACAATAGCTGGGATTAAGTTAGATATAGTTTTTGTTGTACGCACATCATCCTCCATGAGCTCGTTGTCCAGTAGCTCCAGCTCGGGCTTGTTAATCTCAAATTGTGTACGTCGCATTATCTCATCCACCAGCTTCATCATCATATCACCATGAAAGGCCGTCATATACGTTGGCTGCTCTGCAATCACCTTGATAATGGGCGTCCAGATGTCCAGCTTTTCGGTAAAGTCCAGAGCGCCGTGTACTGCATGAAGATAGATAAATATTTTAATTAAAGTTTCAACTGAATGCAACCTGTTTGCACTTACATTTGGTGGTGCAGCGATAAAGTTGATTAAGAAATGGCTCGAGCACTTCGGGCTCCTGAAACAGTTTCGCCGCATATTTGGTGGTATAGAGACGCAAGAGTTCACGAAACTTATCGCTATACATTTCGCTCTGATGCTTGTTACGATTATGCTGTTCCAGCAGGCCGCTGACGCCGTTCATCAATGTGCCCGCAAAGGGCAACACCTTCTGCAGATAGAGGAGCTCGTTTAGCACAGAGAGTGCGGCCAGGGATATGGGCTCATTGTTTTGACGCCATTGCGATAAATCGAGTATGCTCATTAGGAAGTATTCAGAGATCAGTTCGGTGCATATCCAGGATACCAAATGCTGTACACAGCTGAGCAGCTCCAGTACAGAGGAACTGTAAAAGACAAAACATCAAAAAAGGGGCTCATCGAGCTAACAAACGAATCGTGAAGAGCAATCATAGGGGTACTCCTCAAACTAATTATGCTTCGATAAGATTTCTGCTTCGACGAAATTTTAATGCTGTTTACTTTGTATGCATAATTGATTATTCAAATCATTTTGAAATGATTTTTAACAAATTTCAAGCACATTCCTGTTTAACGATAACACAGCCATGAGTTATCGATAGCTTTTTGTAAGTAAGCAAAGCTTAATTTCAAATTCGAACTATGCAGAAACTTGTAGAAGTGCACTGTAGACCTATTTGAACTCAATTATAAAATCATATCCAGTAATAAATAAGATATCACAGCTGCAGTTTATCGATATCGATTCTTCTACATCTTGGTTATCGATATCATTTCGTAATCTTACACTGATAGACTTTTAATTAAGCTCAGCAACTTGTTTATTGAATACTTCCCACGCTCCAGACTATTTCCATATCATTTATAATTAAATATGGCACAGCTGTTGGGTAATTAATAGCTTTTTTGTGGGTTTATAAAAGTTAAATCAAAAAAGTAGCTAAACAGCTGTAGCTTAATAGCAAAAATTGAATGCAACTGCAGTTGATTCTGGGTTTATTTCCAGCAATTTTCCTTTATATTTTATATAGATATATGACGAACATTACAAAACAGCTGTTGGTTATCGATAACTTTAAGTTGCTGTTTACTAAGTTAAAGAATGGAGTATCCCCATAATTAAATGCGGTCTGATCATTTTTAAATTCAATTTTCAAAATAAAAGTTGAACGACGTTTATCGATAACTTTTGAAATTTTGAATCTCAGCTTAGACATTTTCCAGACATTTCTTAACTGTATTCTTTTAAAAGTAATGCCACACTTCGTATATACGAAACGACAGTTAGTTATCGATAACTTTATGCTAAGCTTTTAGAGCTAATTTCTACGAAATGGCTAAAGAAGCACAATAACTCGAATAATTTAATGAAAAAAATCGACTTCTGCAGCTAATAAGTTACTCTTCTTTCTGGTCTGTAGATAGTTAAATGTGGAACACCTGTTGCTTATCGATAGCTTGTACATCAATAATTAGTTAAAGGATTGCCAGTAAATAATGTTTTTTTGCTTTCAGTTAACACATACCTCAATTGATTGTCATTTGGTAGCGCTGTGGTTAGACTGAAATCCATGAAGGTGCTGGGTATGGACGTGTGTATGTCTTTGCCGTTGATATGACAGACGGCGATTAGTAGATATTTGGTGAGCAGCTCCAGAACATCGGGTACACACATGGAAACGCTACACACATGCACGCACATACACACAGGGATAGAGAGAGAGAGAGAGAGCACAACGCAAAAGGGTAGACGGACTCACAATTAGTTGAGTTACATGAATCACAAATACAATGTTTGATATTTATAAACGCAGCCTTACCATGAGTGAAAGTAATGCTTCCATTCGGTGGTTAGGTCGCCGCGATTGCTAACCACCTCCTCGGATGTGACGCGCAACAGATTGATGCCCAGACAGAAGCGGGTTTTGGTCAGCTCCATGCAGTGCTGTATATAATTGGGATCCTGTTCGGGGAACTCACGTTTGCCCAGCAGCGCGATCAGCTGCGCCAATGTATCCCGATGCCGTCGAGCGCCGGTGAGCACCACCAGCTGGGCATAGCTGTGCCAGAGCGTTTCACGCAGCAGCGTCCGATCCGCCGCCGTTAGCTGTGTCCAGCGGCGCGTTATGGTATGCTCCAGCGTTGAGGTGCTGAAGAACCATAGGAATTGATTCTCTGTGAAGCTATTGCTGGCTGTGGCGACGCGCAGGCACAGCTGCCAGGCCTCTGGCTGTGATTTGAATGCCAGCAAGTTTGTTTCGATCTCACGTTTTCGTGCATTGCTCGTCGTCGGCTGGTAGAACTCATTCAGCAGCACCTCCACCGACGTCATCGATGCGGCATGCTGCACGATGACGCATATTGCATTAGTATCAAGGACAATGGAGTATTGGGTGTATAGCGCCAATCGCCCCGTTTTTTTTTTTTTTATCTCTCCACTTTTTTTCTTCGGTTTTTTTTTTTGGTGGGGACTTTCAGTGAGTGGGTTGGCCTTAGACTTACCATTTTGTTGGCGTTTGGTGTGGGTGTGTGTGCGGGCGCGACCCCTCCGGTCTGAAATGTGTGCGGTTTTGTGCTCGGTGCTTGCGGTGATAAGTGATTTGAGTGCATTAGCAGTTGTTTGCTAAAAATTTCATGATTTTTATTTGAATTTTTTTTATCAATTTTCTTTGTGTATATACGACTTGCACATATCGGCAGCGTTGCCAGTGCAATGGAAGTGTTGCCACACAGCTAAATTGCTGTGCACTTAACAGCGCAGCTATCATTTAACATTGCACTCTAGTATGTTGCTCACAGTGTGGCAAGCAAAATTACATGTTCTTTGGTTCGGCCGCATACTGATGACACATGATGAAGTATACAGAACAGAATGTTTGTATATACCCAAAACATAACTGCTGCGTTTATTGAGTGCATTTGAAAGCTTAGTCCATAGCGTATTCGGTAAGCTCTTCGATTTGATTTTTTTTAGCAGCATACCAGTTTTGCCGGCGCCAAGCACCATTCGATATGCGAGCAATCATCAGGGACGATTTCAAAACGATTTTTGGCAGCTCATTTTTAAATTTTTCGCCTATCGAATGTAACGACTCATATCGATTAAAATTAACAGCTCGTGGAGAGCATAACAGCTGGAAAGTCGAAGACGACAACCAGAAACGGGAGAAAACGACAGAAAACGGATGGAGCGATAGCAACGCAGTGCATTTCATAAATGTTGAGCCATTAAACCATATTAATTAAACAATTGTCGCTGTCGTAATAATCTAAAACAAATACGAAAAAATCGTGAAAAAATGCACAGACGGTCGGTGCATACAACAATGTGGAGAAGTATCGAAGCGTAAAAATCAAAGGCGGCGCCAGCCACTCGAACACCAGCCATCCAACCAACAACAACAACAATAGCCACAATAATAAATTGGAGAAATCAAAATAAAAGGTATCACCCATGGCCAATTGAAATGCACAAATTTGTTCGCGAAATACCAAAATTACACTTGAATTAGTTTAATAGCAAAGGTCTCGCAATTAAATGCAAAGTCTGCGCATGTGTGTGTGTGTGTGTGCGTGTGTGCGCTGGTGGGGGTGCCACACTGATTGAAACAATAATAACAACAGCAGTTGGAAAACGTCAAGCATTAAGTGTGGCCAGCTGCAGAGATCGCTGCACTCTTTGACAGCGATTCTAACTGCTGATGTTGTTGTTGCTGGTGTTGCCACTGTCTTGAAAATTTGGTCATTGTACATTGTACGCCCAATACTGCTCTTACGTATGCACATTGCGTACATACATACATATGTATATATATTTATATTTATATATATAGGTATATGTATATGTGTAGGCAGCCCTTGCAGTTTTGTTTTGCCTTTTGACTGTTGCTCTCCGCTCTCGCGCTCTCTATCTGTCTCCCTATCTTTCGCTCACAGTTGCTGGGCAAGAGTGTGCTTCGTGCAAATGCTAAAATAGCCGTTGTAATTTGGTTGTTTTTGTTTTTTTTTTTGGATTGTATACCCAACAATTGCACCCAGGCCTATCAGTCGATACGTGAATGCTACCGTTAGACGCTTAAAAGTGCATTTTTGAAAAGCCGTTAGTAAGCGTTGTGTTCTGATGTGTGAGTGTGTTTGTGTGTATGTATCCTTGCTATTATCTTAATTGTTGCTGCCCACTCTGCTTCCGACTTGCTGCTGCAAACTGTTTTGCACAGCTTGATTACGGCCATAATTTTTATAAATAACTGTTATACAGAATTTGTCAAATTGGCATTTCTTCTTTGCTTATTTACATAGATATGTGTGTGCGTACGTGTGTGCGTGCACATACATACATATGTACATATGTATTTCTTGTTTTTGTCTGCTCTTCTACTACGCACTTTGCTTTTGCACGCTTATTGCGTTGTGTTTTTATGATTTCTTTTCGCTTTTGCCTTTGCTTTTGAGTTTTGAATCTTATCAGCAGCAACGGAAATGTAACATCAGCAATACATGCGCACACACACATCTACATATACATACATACATATTTCTGTGTCTGTGTGCACGCCTTGCAGCTAAAAGCTTTTACAAACATTTTGTTTATTATTTTTTTTTAACCATTTTTAACTGTTGTTGGCCTTAGCCTATATTGGCCCCCCACCGTTAGCCCTTATTACGCCCCTTCCCCCCTGTTTTCGCATGCCTCATTATGCACTTGGGTAGACTTTAATGCGCAGTCAATGACCGTGTGCCCTATGGTTTAAAGAAGGGTAGGGGGATAGACATTGAGGGGTTGGTGTATAGAACAAATACCTTTTGAGAATTCACGAATTGCTGCGTGCTAAGAATTTTGCTGCGCATAGCCTTAACTCCACTGTGCACACAGACACACGCACACACACATATGTATGTATATGCATGCGTTTGACCCCGTTAGGTTCACACTTAAATCAATTTCCTTGCAGTTGGTTGCCAGGCTTCAAACTTTGAACCTGTGCTTGAGTTAGACTGGAAGTGCGCTTTGGAAGCGCTGTATGTGTGTGTGGTGGATGTGTGGGCGCGTGTGGTGGATGTGTGGGAGTGTGTGGGGATCGGGTGGAAAGGAGGGGGCTCGCGGACTAGGGGTACACACTAACTTGTGCGTCATTGCGAACTAAACACAACACGTTCGTTGCCAAATGAAGGGCATTGAAAGCTTCGGCGTTGCTCGCTTGTCTCATTTGCTTTGCGCCTCATTGTGCGTGTGTGTGTGTGTCTGTGTGTGTGTGTGTGTGTGTGTGTGTGTGTGTGTGTGTGTGTGTGTGTGTGTGTGTGTGTACTGCATTTAGCGTCGTGTGTGCTTTACAGCTGCTGTCCTTGATTATAGCTTTTCTTTGGTTGGCAGAATCGTGGGGACTGGTTGCTGCTGCTTCTGTTGTTATTGTTGCTTCTTCTGCTGCTGCTTCTCTTTCGACTAATATTGTTTGTATAGTTTTTACTTGTTTTTATTGTTGTTGTTACTGTTTGGCTTTGGCTCTCGCTTTATTATTGTGATTTTCTTTGTACATGTGCTTTGTGGGGGCCTCTCGCATGCTCTCTCTCTCTCGCTCGCTCGCTCGCTCCGTCTGTTCGACAGCAGGTTGGCGCGTTGTGCGCTCTCTCTGTCGCTCGCATTAGATGGGCTGCTTTGTTTCGTCTGCTCTCTTTCGCTCTTTCTCTCTCTCTCTCTCTTGTTCTCTGTGTGCTGCGCGCGTTCTCTCCCTCGCAGCGTTTGGCGTTGTCGCTGTCGCTGCTGCTGCTGGCGCTGCTTCTTATGCTGCTTTCAGATGTTCGTGCGCTGCTCGCTGGGGGCTTCCAAACTCTGTTGCCAGTTAATTTTCAGTAACTAGTTGAAGTAGACAACAAAAAAATTAAAAAAAAAAAAGAAGCGAGCAAAATCAAATCAACGGCCAAAACTGCAAACAGCACCTAACACAGACACAATAACAAACGCGACCCCAAAAGCAGAAGCAATAAAAACAACAACAACAACAACGGCAGCAAACAAAAGTAAAGCAATAACCCAAAAAAGTGAGACAAAACCAAAGACAAAGCAAACGCAAAAAAATACATACAACAACAACACGAGTGTTATCTCTCTAAATGTGTGTGTGTGTGCGTGTTTTTGTTGAAATTATTTTCAAAAAGTTTCGTAATTATCTGAAAATGCAACACATTAATAAAATGCAGTCAGCTGCGTGTGCTTATATGTGTGCGTGTGTGTGTGTGAGCAGGCGGAGACAACAGTCATAGAATATAGAGGGAAAGCATGCACACAACAATTTAATTTTCATTTCATTTTCGCATTTGCTTTCTTTGCTTTGCTTCCTTCTACTTTGCGTTTCTTTTGCGTGATTTAATTTAAAATGTATAAATACATAATCAGAAACATACACACACATTTGTGTGCGTATATGTGTGTGTCAACTTTATTAAGCAGTCACGGTGGGCCACAGCAACAACAAAAATAATAAGAGCAACAATGCACATATGTATGGCTGCTGCTAATGTTATTGTCTTAAACGAAATTGCAGCTGAGTGTCATTTGTTTAGTCAACACTGCGTTGTTTTTGTTGTTGATCTTCTAGAGAGCGTGGGCTTTACACCAACAGGCACAGGCGCTCTCTCTCTCTTTCTTGCATGCACACACATACACGCACACGCATGCAAAGCGCGATGAGCACACAGCTGGGAGGCAGCAACAACAACCACAACTCAGAAAAGCAACACAAATAACAACAGTTAACTGCTCGCCCCGCTCCAAGTGTGTGTACGTGCATGTGTGTGTGTGTGTGCATATCAAAAACAAATGCGTACAGTGAAACTTCGCAAAGCTTAATAAAGCGCATAGTCGCTTTAACTACATATATGTATCTAATTGAAAAGCTTCACTGTAAGCAGTGTGTACACAAACATTAAAAGTGAGCGAGTGAGACAGATACTGCTGGAGAGGGTCAGCGGGCAAGAAAGAGTAGGCGAGCGAAAATTGAATTAGCTCATCCAAAAGAGAGAATAATGTTGACCAGTGTACAGTGAGTGTTGACAGTTAAGCGTCTACTTACCACACACGTATTAGGGAAGTTAGGAAATACAAATACACAAATATCGCTTAAAATAGCGCTACAGTGAAAACTCAATTGAACGGACAAACACAAATATATGTGATACCAAAAAAAAAATGAGACGGACAGAAAATTGAACATTATTAACAAAATTATTAAATGTTTCCCATTAATGTTCTATCTTTTATTCATAATTATTCAAATTTGTACGTTTTTCAATGTTTAAAATAAATAAAAAAAAGCCAATCGTAATAATTTTTGAAAAAAATAAAAATAAAATATTGTCTGTATCCGGTTTAAACAACTTGCGCCCAACGAATGGCATTTAAATTGGAAATTGGCTGTCTTAAGCAAATTCTAGTGGAGTTTTCACTGTATATGTATATTTTGCATAGACATATGTAGCTGCTTCATGGCATCGTCATGGCGAAAGCAATTCTATAAATATTACTCATACGCAGTTTGTTGAGTCAACGAGCTTAAGAAAACAATAAGGTATACGAAAAGCATATATAAAAGCACATAAATTATATAAATCTTACATATATATCGTACAAAATACAAATGTTGTGTTTAACAATGGTTGAGCGCACTGTATGTTTGTCACGGGGGTTGCTGCTAACACTTTACTCTCTCTTTCGCTTGCTCATTCGCCTGCTCGCTTACTCTCATTCGGCAGTCAGCCAATAACATTAAACAGCTGAGCTTGTTTGGAAACAACAGCCGCCCATCGTAATGGGGCGCGTCATCAACAAAAGCGGGCATAGAGACAGATGATAAAATAATCAAAGCGAAACAATTCCAATTGTTGCCAATGGCAGTGTGGGAGAGGGAGTGAGAGCGGGTGAGAGAAAGCGAGGCTGAAGCGAGCACGCAAATAGAATTGAAATGTTTCCAATATTTCTTTCCACATTCGCTTGGACCCTGGAAAGTATGCAATGACAAGCGACAGCAACAACAACAACAACAACAACAACGAATGGCATTAATATTAAACTGCATGCATGTCCTTGATGCCCTACGCTCTTTTATTGGTGTTGCTTATGGCAACTGCAGCACACCCCCGCACGCTGCTCAGTGACGTCTAGATAGAGCGCGCGCGTGTGTGAGAGAAAGCAGCGCAGCGTCAGCGGCCGCGACAGCACGACGTCACACATTTTATTGTTGTTGTTGCTGCTGATGCTGATGCTGCCCTGCGCTGCTGCTGCTGCTGCTGCTGCGCCGCTGACATAGTTTCGTTTCATTTAGGCTGTGTGTAAGTGCGCGTGCGAGCGAGATAGTATGCGAATCTGTTACACTGGCCTCAAAGTCATTTGACCTACATTTGGGCATGTGCGCAGGCGGAATCCAGCTGCAGCAGCAGCAGCAGCAGCAACAGCACTCATGGTCAGCCTAGCTGATAGCATTGATAAGGATAACAACACACACACACTCACACACACATATAAATATGACAGATAATTGATATTTGGTTTATTTGCAGGCAGACAGACAGCAGCAGCTGCAGCTCCTGGATTGCTCCGCCGATTTTTTATGTGTGTTGGCCATACGCGAAACAGGGGAGCAGCAATACAATACAATAGCAAAACACCGACAACAACAACAACAACAACAACAGCAACAACGACAACATCAAGAACAACAATAGCAACAACAATCACCGCCTTAGCCTTAACCATAGTGAACACAACAGAGCCGAACCGCAACGCACAGTGTCCCCAGCAATAGGAAAACATTAACGCACTATTTGTCACCCGCAAAACAACAACAACAAAATACAATAATAACAAAATGTCATCGCCGAGTGCTGGTAAGCGACGCATGGACAATGACGTCATCAAGCTAATTGAATCAAAACACGAGGTGACCATTTTGGGCGGCCTCAACGAGTTCCATGTGAAATTCTTTGGTCCGACAGGCACACCCTATGAGGGCGGTGTATGGAAGGTGCGCGTCTATCTGCCCGATAACTATCCATTTAAATCGCCCAGCATCGGGTTTGTCAATAAGATCTATCATCCCAATATTGACGAATCATCTGGCACCGTTTGCCTGGATGTGATCAATCAGGCCTGGACAGCGCTGTACGATCTATCGAATATATTCGAATCGTTTCTGCCGCAATTGCTCACATATCCAAATCCCGTGGATCCATTAAATCGGGACGCGGCCGCCCTGTACCTGCACGAGCCGGAAGAGTATCATCGCAAGGTCGCCGACTATGTGCAGCGATATGCGACCGAGGATGCGCTGCGGGCGGCGCAGCAGGAGCGTGAGAGCAGCGACAGCGAGTCGAGCATGTCCGATTATAGTGAGGACGAAGCCAGAGATATGGAATTATAATATCGGTTTAACTATATAATCCAAATAACAAAAACAATAGCAGCCGCGGCAATAATAGCAACAGCCTAATGCCTCGATTTGATTATCACATACAATCAGATCGCCTCTACATATATAATTCAGATAAAGCAACAAAACAACAAACCACACAACAAACAATATTAAGATAGTTGTATATATATATTTACAATATAAATATATATATATACACACCATGCATATATAAAGAACGTGATTCGATGGAGCGCATATCGCAACGATATGTTAATGTGCGCGCACATACTTATAAATATGATATATGATCTAATACACATATATATATATATATATATATATATATATATATATTAATTAACGTAAGCTAAAAGTTTGAAACAATTCTTAGTAATTTAGCAATTATAGTAGCTTATAAACAAACAAAAATCGAGTAAAAAACAAAATACACAAGCGAAAAACAAAGGAAAACAGACCGAAAGCAAGAAATGATAATAATTTTTGAACGAAAGCGCAGAGCATTGAAATCTAAAAGCAGTACATAAACTAGAAAAAGATATAACACACACACACACACATAACACACACACATAAACACACGCTGACATATAACTATAAAGTTAGTTGTATATACCCTATAGAGTATATTCCATATATCGTTTAACAACTGTTTTGTCAGCTGTTTAGCTGTAGGCACACTTTTGCCTAAACCACCCGTACACCCCACCCACGGCCACGCCCACTACCCACACCCACACCCCACACCCTAGCATCCCCCGATCCCACTTGACTAAGTAGCCTCGCCTTTGGGCTATCCATGCAATCGGTGTACTATCAGAATTGGCCCCGCGCCATCAACGAGAGCAAGTGCAAGAAGTTCAAAGCAAATAATTTTTAATTTTTCGCTAACAATTTATTTTTATTATTTTTAATTATACATCTTTCAAGCAGCTCTTATTTCTACATGTTACATGCCTAATATAATATTATTATTAAGCTAAACAAGTTGTGTATGTAATCATTTTTTTTTTTTTTAATATATATATATATATATTTACATATATACTATAACTAGGTTGCCAATTGATTGTGTGTTAAATCGTCTTAACTTTTGTGCGTTTCAAAATATATACACATATATTTATTAAAAAAAAAATGCAACGTCAACAAATTTTTTTTGGTTTAAGCTAGCAAACATTTCATTTTCAATAATTGTGTCTTGTCTTTAATCTCTAGAAGCTGTCGTTTTTTTTATTTTTATTAAGTTGTCAAGTCGCTGCGATGGAACAGAACAGAAAGTAAAGTTATTTAAGAGTTAAACAAAGAAACAAAAAAAAAAAAAACAAATTTAAAGCGAAAATTAAAAATAAATATAAAAACGAATCGTAAAGTTCGTATAGAGTTGTGTATTCTAGTTAACTTAGCAAGTTCAATAAAATATAACAATTTTGTATATATACAAATGTATTTGGAGTCTAGAGAGTCTTTATTCTTAGCTACAGCAGCCGAAGTTGCGACCTAACCTCAAAGTTTCGAGCTAACCTCAAAATTTTGACCTAACCTCACAGTTTCGACCTAACCTCACCTGTTACGCACACCCCCCCCCCCCCCTCACGGCTTTAAGCAATAAACCCAGCGCCATAACAAAAACTACAGTTTGGGAATACACAACTCTAAAACATATACATACATACATATACATGTATATATAGATATATATAACCAGATCTGGCTCAGTTTGAGGACAGGGCTGCTTCCACTCTTGGAAGATAGAACGGCTTAACATCAACTCATATCCAACATTCGAACCATCAAATCCTGGGGAAATCGAAGTAAGTTTATGAACGATCTTGAAGGGTTATCAAGTCGGGTTCATAATAGACTAAACCTAGGCGGTAAATCTAGTAAATCTATTTACGAAGAATTACCAGAAAGAATGTTATTGTAAAATAAGCTGACATGACGTAGGTTCGAGTAGGTTCAAATTCAGATAGGTTGCAATGGAGAAAGGCTTGTTTTATATATATTATTCAATTCATGGTAATTCTATGAATAAACTTTTGAGTAAAAATAAAGATAATCGGAATAATTGGTAGATGGGTCAATTCCACAAACCCAAAATATACATCAAGGTATTCTTTTCAAATGCGCTTAATCAACCAATCCTCGGTTCCTGTTCGACAGACTTTGGTTCGAGGAATAAAAGTCTGTTGAATAGCAAACGATGCTTGATATAGGAGTTCCCTTAGATTCAGTCTTTAATAAACCCGACTTGATGTTCAATCAAGATCGTTTATCAACTTACTTAGATCTTTCTTAAAGTTGATGGTTCGAATGTTGGATATAGGTGGATGTAAAGGCGTTCTCTCTTGGAAGTGGCGACAGAGCGTTGTTCTCAAACTAGCCCGGATCTGGTACGATCCGTACCCTCAAGGCGTCGCCTGTAAAGAGATCTCTCCATTTGACAGCACAGGAGATAACAGATTCAAAAGATGTGATCGATTCAATTGAATCGAAAGTAAAGTTCTTTTTTGAATAAGACTCGAATCGTATAAGAAGATTATAGCTTTTATCCTACCGACCACAAACTGAGCTTAGTTCTATTCCAATTCAAAATGCAGAGTTTTGTTTTTCAAAAATGGATTGACGAGAAAACTAAGACCAAATGCTTTCAAATTCTTAATCTCCGTCGGAGCCACATAATCAATTGTTCTGCTTGATAATTTCTATATATTATATATATACATATATATATATTTATATTGTATTTGTAGAACCCAGAGAAACACACACACACACACATATTAGGCTTGTTGGGGGGTGGGGCTAGGGGTAAAATCAAAAAAAGTGTAGGTGACAACCCTGCAACAGTTTTTAAAAAAAAATCAAATCACGGTAACAAAATGAAAATGAAATATAAGTGAAAAGTAAATCGTAAAACGTAATTTTTAACGTACTATTATTAATTATGTATTGTGCTAACATTAACAATATTTTATGCTTAAGTTTAACAAAGTGTTTATGAAATGATTATGTAAAAATAAATTGAAGATTAATACGAATTTGAATCAAATAATAATTGGGCAAAACCGATATTTCATAGAAATATGCGATTAAAGATGGCAACTGAGAGCTCTCTTTCGGGCAAAGAATTTCTATAGACTCTAGCTTTGAGTTGTACTATCTGGAAATTAGGAAGAATCCCTCCAAAATTAGAGTACTCCACACATGAAGCTACAAAATTATATAGATGTTTCATGCATAATAGTTCTAGAGGATAGTGCTAGTGTTGGAAATAGTTTTAATTTTGACTAAGTTATGGGAGTTGGAAGTTAAATAGGGGTTTTTAATGGAAACTGGCTTTTTAGGAGTAGAAATATTTGAAAAATTGACCACCTCAGAAACTTCTTATGGATAGGTCTACGAGCTCCCAAGTCGACTAAAAATAAAATGTGAAGATTTCAAGGCAAAAATTGAATGTTTTCTTCTGAGTAAGTTGCATTATCTAAAATTTTGGAAAAATAGCAAAAAAAAAAAACCATAGTATGCACAGATTTAAAATACAGAGACTGTCTAGAACGAACCAAGTCCAAATTGCAAAGTACATTAAGTGTACCCCGTATTAGTTTCGACAATGCATTAGATACTTTAATCAATATCTTAATTTGTATGTGAGTGTAACAAGAATTAAGTTAAGCACTAACCCATATATTAAGCTCAATTGGATTTGGGTTAAGAGCTCGTGTTTTGTCAATAAAAGCGTGCCTCAACTGGTGGCGCCTCCAGCCTAGCCATAAAGACGACCTACCTTATGGCAAAGGGCTGACAATGTCGACGGTTTGTCAACACATTTCATCGCTTCGCCTTGGAAACTTGAGTTTGTTGATTACCCCAAGAAGTTTAGAGTTTTGTTTTGCTCGCCCAACTCAAGGAACTCGAGGAATTTTTGCTTTATTTCTCAAGTTTTTAGCAAGCAACAGCAGCAGCAGCAGGTGCAGCAGCAAAAGGACACCAAACAACTATGGGTAACAAACTTTAGAGAACTATTTGAAATAAAAGAAAAAATTGCTCGCAATTAAGTGTGTGACTGTGATAAACTTTAAATGCAAGAACTACGCGGATTCTCAGTTTATGTTCTAGATGTGTATATCTAAGAGGTACACATTTCTATAAGATTTCTATAAAGTTCTCCTTGTTTTCACACTTTGTTAAATATATTTTAGTTTTTGTCGGAGTGCACCTCTGATCCTTAAGGCAGCTGCAATTGTTGTGTTCTATTGCGAACCAAATTTCGGTTGTGGGGTAAGAAAAAACAAAAAAATTACGGGAAACTATGGACAGACAGAGGCCAAATCGAAAGGGTTGCCCCAAGGAGTTAATAGATAAAAAGTGTTTACATGTTAATGTATGTTCATGTGTGTGTGTGTGTGTGCGTGCGTGTGTATGCGTAAGGTAGAGATGCACGCGTGCCAGCTTGTTTTTAACAAGGCACGAACACGAACAACAATTGAAAAACACGCGCATTATCATTATCATTATCATTATCATTATCATTATCATTATCATTATCATTATCATTATCATTATCATTATCATTATCATTATCATTATCATTATCATTATCATTATCATTATCATTATCATTATCATTATCATTATCATTATCATTATCATTATCATTATCATTATCATTATCATTATCATTATCATTATCATTATAATTATCATTATCATTATCATTATCATTATCATTATCATTATCATTATCATTATCATTATCATTATCATTATCATTATCATTATCATTATCATTATCATTATCATTATCATTATCATTATCATTATCATTATCATTATCATTATCATTATCATTATCATTATCATTATCATTATCATTATCATTATCATTATCATTATCATTATCATTATCATTATCATTATCATTATCATTGTCATTGTCATTGTCATTGTCATTGTCATTGTCATTGTCATTGTCATTGTCATTGTCATTGTCATTGTCATTGTCATTGTCATTGTCATTGTCATTTACATTATCATTATAATTTGTATACCTCGTTTTTCTTGAAGTTCGTGTCACCAAAGGAAACACGACACGCGGCCAACTCTAGAGTGAGTATACTCATATATGCATGAGTATATACTTATAAGTGCGAGTGTATCTGTGTATGTATGGGTATTTTTGCGTGTGTCTGGATGCCAGCTCCGCACGCCCCCTTCAGTTTTCTTGTTGTTTGGGGCAACGGTAAATCAACAAATTATATGGGAATTACGTGCAGAGCAAGCGTTGCCGCCTTGGCCCCATATTGTTGCATACTTTTATGGGCGTTCGAACATTCAAGACACACATCCGCATATTCGCATAAACATCCGGACATCCGCATAGCATACACTTGTTTTGCAAATATACAAAGTACTAATAAAATTAAAGTACCCAACGTCACAAGCCCGCCAATAGACATGAAAAACAAACAGAGAACAAGCGCTGGCAATGGCGGGCGTGGTGGGCGGCAAGTTGGGTGGGGACGTGGTGTCTGGTAGGTACTCTTGGTACAATGTTAGGGTTGAGCTAGACATCTATACATCAGCTCGTACAATTGCCGAATTACGTGAGCAAACATTTGCAGTTGTAATGGGTTAAGTTATTGAGGGCGGTACGAATGCTTACACTGGGAAAAAAAGGGAGTTAGTTGGTGCAAATTCAAATAAAATTTGTAGTTAATATTACTCTTATTATTATTAATTTTATTATTATTGCTATTTGCTATGTTATTTTTTGCAATATTGTAATTATTATTGTAGTTATTATTATTATTATTATTAATATTAGTATTATTATTATTATTATTGTTATTATTATTATTATTATTGTTATTATTATTATTATTATTATTAATTTTATTATTATTATTATTATTATTATTATTATTATAATTATTATTATTATTATTATTATTATCATTATTATTATTATTATAATTATTATTATTTTTATTATTATTACTATCATTATTGTTATTATTATTATTATTATAATTATTTTATTATTATTATTATTGTTATTAGTATTATTATTATTATTATTGTTATTAGTATTATTATTATTATTATTAATATTATTATTATTATTATTATTATTATTATTATTATTATTATTATTATTATTATTAATATTATTATTATTATTATTATTATTGATATTATTATTATTATAATTATTATTATTATTATTTTTATTATTATTATTATTGTTATAATTATTGTTATTTTCACTAATATTACATTTGTTATTAGTAATATTATAAATCATAGATGCGTTTAGTTCTCAAATGTTAAGAGATTTCAAATCTTAAAGATTTCGCCCAATTTGTAAATTATATAGCCGTCCCTGTCGTCTGATGATATATATATTCTTATTATTATTATTATATCTAAAAAAAAAAGTAATCGCTTGTTTTAAGACTTGAAAAAATGTCCGCCCATTAGGTTCCTAAAAATGGTTTTCCTCAGCCCTGCACTAGTTTGGTTTAAGATTTGGTTAGTAGTAAAAGAAAGTTCCGACTAAAACCATAATCTCCAATAAGAATAATCAATCGTTAGTTCAAATCTGTTGATGATAAAAATACTGTTATCTGGAAATATATCACAGATCGAATATAGAGTCTTTTATCTGTTTATCTGTTTTATCTTGTTTATTTTTCTCAGTGCATTGTGTGTGCTTTTAACTATAATTATTCAAGATTTGTTTAATATATACAGTGTTTACGTTTTAGGATTTTTTATTCTTTTCGATATTTGTGAGCTGATTTGCACTCAAATTTCTCTCAGTGTATGTGTCTTGTAGTCAATTTACGAGCGATATGCGAAGTTTATTATACATTTTGGTGGCAATTTATATGCATATTGGCCTTTTCTTAGGCGCTGCTTAACTCCAGCAGATCGGAGGCGCATCAAGCTGGAAATGGAGGTGGGTAGTCGAGGAGAGGGGCAGGGGTGGGGAGGGGTTAGTATCAGAGGTGTGGCAGTGTGTGCAGTGTATATTTGGGCGTCGCTCTGCGTGTCGATGGCGTCGACTGAGGAGGATTGATTTGACTTTGACACATGAAGCACAAAACACACACAGACACCTGCACACACACCCACACACAGACACCTACACACGCACACCTTGCTGTATATATAGACACCCCGAAAACACAGTGCTCTATAATGACATATCCTGGCAAATTGTTTGGCAGGCAAGGCGGGTCGCTCCCCAACACCGACGCCCAAGAACGGCGCAGGAGCTGGAGGTGGAGGTGGAGGTGGAGCTGGTGTCGGAGCTGGGGTAACAAATGACGCGCAGCCAACAGCTGCAGCGGCGCCAACAACGGCTGGAGTAGGAGTTGCTGGTGGTGGAGGCGGAGGCGCCTGCAGATCCACGCTACATGCGAACAAAACGATACTGAAAACGGTTTCGGTATTCCTTGCCAGCGGCAAACGAAACTCCAGCAACCAGTCGAAGGCCGCAGCGGCTGCCCTGCAGAACAAACGGCAACAGCGCCAACGGAAAATGGACGAGCTGAGCGGTAAAATAAATCCCAAGCTCTTGGACAATCTGCGCAAGAAGACGCGCTTTACCAAGTGAGTAGTCAGCCAGTGAGAAGCCTTTTAGTCTAGCGGAAGACTTTGTGAGGGCATCCCAGGACTTAGCACTCGAACTTCTAGTGCAGGGTCTTACAATCCAAACTAACGTTCTAGTCCAAACTAGTTCTAGTCTAGTCTAGGCCTAGCAAGGGCTACTGGAGCAGCACTTATGAATAGCTTTGCAGACAGTCAAAATTCCTTCCTTCCTTGGTCATCTATCTTCCAGGTTGGTGCACAGCTTTGAGCTAGAGTAAAATATTCAAAGGACATAGGAGTGTTAGTATCCCAAAATCCACCACTAGGAACTCTAGTGCGATGTCTTACAAACTGAGTTTTCCTTACCTCCATTTCCAGACAATCGAAATTCCTTCCTTCCTTGGTAATCTATCATCCAGGAAGTACAAGATCCCAATGACTT